AGGGAGGCCCCGTGTCCCTCTTTAGACACACTCTCTCCTCCATTCGTCACCCTCCAGGCTATAACTAGCCAATAATGTGTGTGTGATGCGGGGAACTTGTATCATGCGAAATATATAAGGCGGTGGCCAAATTGAGCAGTTGGGACCAACTAACTTTTAATGAAAGCACAAAGATCGCCTCGGCCAGATGTTAGGGCATCTTTATATTAAGATACTTCATATCGAGTATGTTTTGGCTGGCGCGCGCAGATACCCGCACTCTCCAACGTGGCAATTAAGTGTTTCTCACACTCAATCTGCGAGGACCGATTTTCAAAAGGCGCGATGCTTGAGTCGATATGTTGCATCAGGCGGCGGTTTAGAGGATTTAACGAAGATGGAACACGAGACAGAGAGCCCAGTGCCTCAGCGTGTTGACCGGTGGCGAGTTGGTGTGGCTCTTCTTCTCAGAGCCTTTTACTCCTTGTCTTGTCCCTTTGCTAGGTCCATGGTAGACATTGTGAGAGACATGGTTCTCATATGTTAGTATGCTCATAAAGACTATATATAATAGAGTGAACAAGATAAGTTGCTCTTCAGAAAGTAGTGACGCATAAGTGTCAGTATGAAAGAACTGCTATATATATAGATGGCAAGGTCGCGTGTGCAATGTATAACCTTAGTAACCTTAGTTGTAGGCCTGGTCGTACAAAGTCTCCCGCAGTTATAATGATAGTGCTCTTATACATTCACTAGACATATTGTACGAGATGTATCAACATTGGTGGGATCTTCCTGAAGTCATATTAGGAAGCAGGACAAACTTGCACCGATATATGGGTATGCCTATCGCACAGAGGAGCATTAAACAGACAGTTGGCTTGAAGGCACGGAACGATTGAGGGAAGTGCAGCTAATGAGATGGTTGAATGATGTTTAAATGTGCTTTAAACCAATTGGATTCGTATATTGTAATCTAGGGATATGTAGAAATCAGGTTCAGAGGTAGTCTGTTTTGTTTCTTAATTTTTTCCAGTTTCCTCCACCTGAGTTATCGCATTAGGTTTGTTTATTGTATCCTGACTGTTTTTGTGACCTAGGACTTTGCTCACCTATTTCTGTTAAATATTGAATGTGTACCTAATCTGAGACTGCATCAGTTGATACAAGGAACCCGACTAGTGTGAGCTAAATCTGTTTATTATCTTTTGACCAATGCTTGGCTGTCTTTGTTGTAATATAATGAAACATAGATAGACCGGTTTGAAAATATATGTTACTCTATACCACGTTCTGTAAATGCGCGCGATCGAATGTGTAGACAGTACACCTGCCCTTATAGATTATTTATCTTTTTTATTTTAGTTATTGGTTGATGTATTGATTTTGTTTATTGATTCTATAGAGGTTACACGCTCCTACTCCTGATGCGATATTTTTGTTAGTAATTTCATAATTTTATATTCTTTAGAGCTGTCACTGTATTGTAGATTAGATTGCTTACTCCTCCCACAGAGAAAGTAAGCAGTGTATAGTGCTCCACTGAGGCCCCTGGCTCATGGGCGGCATCCTGGAGAAGCCGGCTGGTACGTTAGATGTCACGGAATGAAATTGAGTTCGGAGCTTGGTATATAGAAAGGGTTGGATAATAGTCTTATTTAATTTTGGGTTTTTTGGCTATGTTAAGTCAACATAACACAAGGGCAACCATTATGGTGATGAAAATCCAATAAACCACCATACACTATGTCTATCTTTATACCCAATGCTATTATATCACAAATCAAAGGCCCATAATATCTCACACTACTCCCTCTCATAAAACTATAATCCAGCCTTTAGTCCGATTCGCTCGTCATAATAAGTTGCAATAAGCGTCATCACACCAGAAGAGGATTAATGTAACTACCTGTCAAAAGCGGCGTCGACATTTAAATGGTTATGGCAGAAACAACAAACCCTATAGAGAGGCAAACAAAAATGATCATAGAGGAATGGCAATAAATAATCAAGTATAAGTGAAAAAGGATTATTTTATATGGACATGAGAGATATACTAGATTATGGGATTTGTTCTATTTCCCCTATGTGTGATGATATGATATGCTAATAATTTCACTAGTATAGTTATATCGTTTTGGGTTGATAATGTGTTTTTCATTACCTTTCCTTCCCCTTCCTTTCGTTTCGCTTGTCTGCAGTATATACATATTGAGAGGAACCGTTAAGCCAAAGAACTGGGATGCAGAAGTAATGTGTATTTCTAATCTTAATATCTTTAAAGTCCGATCCAGATATGTGGTTGATCTGTGGCAAACTCGGATATTGAAGATGCGCACATTCTTGCGATTTTGTCAAATGTCAAATGTTCTGGTTTTAATTGGTTTTCAGATCTTTGCAGATCGATGTTGCTTGCCTAGTACTTATATTGGAAGGACAGCATGGCTAGGATTTTTTGTTAAATTTGTCTTTGTGGGATGTGTCGTTGAGTGTGGTGAGTTAACGTGGTTTCGGGCAGAGTGGATTGACTAGTTTCGAGGCATAGAGATCTGGTGGGCGTTCCTCAACTGTCTGTTTGACTATGATGTTGTGTATAAGTCTGGTTATGAGATAAATAATGAGATAGATATATGCTAGCGTACATATATTAACATATCCGTTTATTGATGATATATTTCCCTATATAAATGATTTCATCTATATGTCTGATGGGGCTTAGGGTATGGATGCGCGGTGCCTCAGAGAGTCACATTATGAATGAGAGTATACACGCTTGTGGTGAGAAGATATAATATATGTTAGGTGACATAGGTAAGTCTGATACTTGTGCTCTTACTAACATTGTTCTCATGGAGGACTTTTTTGTTCTCTATATTTTTCTACAGCTGCGTCGGTTTTAGTAAACACAGATGGTCAAGGATGCTGGAGATATTTGTCTGTATGGTTGGATAAGCATCTTATTTTCAAGTTTTCTGTTATCTGTTGTTATTCGTTATTTAGACTGTATACTGCCACTTGGTACAGGGCTGAATGTCAACAATATAAATTTGTTGGTTTATTTTCTTGGGCTTTTATTGCTCTTCTATATTTTCCATGGCGCATCAGTAATGTCATGATAAGGTACCCTTATCCTTAAGAAAACAGTCTGTTATACCCAGCCGACAACTATGCACAGAGGTTTGTGTCTTATGTACGTGGGCAGACATTGGGGGATTTGTGTTTTCAAAGTTTCCTTTTAACAATTGTTTTTTGTCCCACATGGAAATTTTTTTTTTTTATATTTTTTTTTATGGTTGTATAGGAATATATTCGATATTGTCTTGTGTTATATTCTCTTAGTTTCTTGTATATGATGGTGTTGAAATTTTTATTTAATCTATTCTATTTCAACAGTTTTCAATATACATATATTCGATATTATTTGTGGTTTCTAGTTCTGATGATTTATGTATCTAAGAACTAAATAGAATCATATAAATAACAAAATTGGATGTTTATGATTGCTAATATCTAAGATCTGTGTAATATTGTTTGTGATATCATGTATTGGAATTAAAACGGTTTTGGTTCAAATCTTTTGAACTCGTTGTGTTTTTATTCATCTGCTCACCTGTCTAACTAACACATCCAATGTAAAATGACATATTACGTCAATATCTGGTAGGTTTCTCAGTAGCTGTGATTATTTGTGATGCATAATATACATTTAATGGCGTTGGCATCTTGAGCAGAATGGACCATTTCTTTGGTTATTGGTAATTGTAAAAAATAACTACTTTACATAAGACATTTTCTAACTAGATGGCAGAAGTCTCAAGGGCATGCGCTGCCTGTTCAGCAAACTGCTTCTCTCAGTACATTGAGAGAAGCTGCCTGGGTTGGAGAAGTATCCAAACCAGCCAGACATGTTCCAAAGGGTGAGGTGTGAATGGAGATTTGTTTTGTTGATTTTTTGTTGCTGCATGTTGCCTCGTTTTTGTCAGACTTGTTAACTTAATCAGCTACACTGAAGCTTTCAACTGGAGGGTCTCCCCTTTTGTATGGCAGGCTTGTCTCTCATGACGTGCGGCCTGGGGTGAGTCTGCCCTGTCGTTCTGCTTAGGGAGAGGAGCTAGCGTCCTGCTGGAAAATGTTGGGGGGGTCTAAGGCTCAACGATTCCTTCGAACCATCAGCCTGTGTGGACACTCAGTAAGAACTGGCTGTCCTTAACAAAAGATCTAGTTAAAAGATTAGCGTGTGCCATATCATCAAATATTTAGAAGAAAACAATCATTATTTCCCTTTGTATCATTAATCTTTTTTAGTTATTAATGATTGAGGGATTCAAAATAATGCAGGATTTGGACAGACACGATCTTGATTATTATATTGCACCAGACACTATCTTCTCCTCCGTGTTTCCCTCGTCCCTCCCCAAATATATGCCTTCTTCTTTCTTTCTCCAGATGGTCACGATTTGTCTCAGCAGTCTTTAAGGAAATTTTTGTGAGATTTGAGAGTCTACAGAGTCTGCCATGTTTATAGAGTAGCCCAGAATGGACAAACCAAACTCTGACTCTAAATAAAGGCCTGTCATGTTGCTTGTGCCACTGTAGTTTCTCCTATATGGTTGCAAGGCTGACCTGTATTCAAATGGTTGCAATTTGCAACTTCAACACTAAATGCCACTAAATCCTACACACTGGTCCTTTCATAAAATTACACTTAACTGCAAATTATTTGTGGTTCTGTTAAGAATTCATACTGCAAACATGTCACATAAATCACAGTCGTCTTGGTAACAAAGAAAACTGCAGCTTGAAAAGAAATCTAAGTTGAACTTTAATACCTCTTTCTCTGAAGAATTTTTCATTTCTTCCCACAAAGGTCTATTGACAGTCTTCAGTGGTTTGTCTAGATCTCGCATTCGCTCCTTCAGCCTAAGAAGAGAAGAAAATAGGCCTGTCTTTGAGCTTCAGTTGTAATATCAGAATTTTCAGAAAACACATATTTTGAACTTCTTCTAACAATTTACACTGCTCTTCACATTACAAAGCTGTCAATCAACAATTACTCTGTAAATCTTAAGGGATCTTTTCAGGTTTAAACGTAAAATGAGACAAGAACACCTCTCACTGAAGAAAAAACTACCGTAATATGGTTAAATGTGACAAACTACTATATGTATACTTTAATATTAGTCTTAAATGTGTAATACAATCTTGAGCATACATACCCCTCCACCTTCTCTGTAAGGTTCAAGACGTCTGTCTCATACACCGCCTGTTTAGGACGGTTGATAAGCCTGTCTTTTAATAAATCCATCGGTGTGCATTCTGTGTCTGACAAAAGCTGCAAAAACAAAACAAAAAGTCACATCACCACATCTGGCTGATACCTTTCTATATATTTCTTTATTATAAATGAAGATCAACCTACTCTGCCAGGAAGGACACTTTGCCGAGGATTATGGATGACAAAGTCTATGTTGAAGAGTTTAAAGAACTCTAACACTGTGATGGTGCCATCATTGAGTTTCTGTAATCGAAAACATTGAATAAATAACTGACATGAAAATAATAACATTAAAAATATACATTTAGAAACAATGTCAGTAATATACCTTCTGCATGTCACAGGCGTAGTCTTCAAGTTGGGATTCAAACAGGCTGTGCTTGAAAGCTGAAAAATAAAAATAAAAAATTGATTCAGAATCTAGGAAAGGACAATAAGGATCTTAATGATACTCAACTACACTGTGAAGCTATAACAACTTACAGGATTCAAATGTAGCTTCACATCTGATGCTGGCTGTGTGACTGCTGTTGCAGTAATCTGTCGTCTGTGTAGTCATGCATGGAGCTGTAGTAATGTTACTGTCACACTCTACAAGATCAGACTGTAATCCCTGTAAATGGGGAAAATAGAAAAACAAAAGTAGCTTTTAAAAAAAGAAAACACAAAAATCATAACAATAAACTGTAATATGATATACCTTAAATTCTCAAATGAAAGTCGATATTATATTAAGAGAAGAGTTAATTAATTAAAATTATTAGGTTAATTACCTCTCTACCAGATTAACTTGTATACTGTTTTTAATTTGCTGTTTTTATATACCAACATCCAGGCCACTAGACAACGCTACAGTAATCAAAGCCTATAAATGGTGATATTAAAATATGTTTTTTTTTTTTTACATTCTATGTACTCCTGACAATAGAATAAGCCACTATAAACCAATATAAAAGCCCACTTTGTTATTGTGATACAAAGTTTTGGTCACACCACCCAACACTAATCAAACTTGAAACTCCTTAAAGATGTTTGAGTTTTCACATATTTGTATTACGGTTTAACCGTCTCACGATACATGTTTACATTCCTAGAAACAACAGCATTTGGTAAACAGCAAACTTAACCATAATCAAAATGGAAACTATCCGGAATAATAAGCAAATGAAAGTTAGAGAAGAATAACTCGGAAGCAGAGTGGTGAGTATGACATGACTAGGTCTTTGTACTAATGGAAAAGTCTAATTTAAGGCACTCTCTCTTATATAATCCTGGTTTTCTCTGCAGTTAAGGTGAAAAATGACCCCAGGCATGATTTGAGAATTTACAGTACTCTTAATTTGACTTACCATTTCAAAGTCGGTAGCTGTCTCAGTGGATGCTTTTATTCTCTTCTCGTCCTCCGTATTATTTTCATCTACTGGCAAAGGTCTCTTCTTTACATGGACAGGACTAATGAAGTCCTGTTCAAATACATCATCCTCTAAAGGCCCATCCACGTTGAACTCCTGGGAAGGATTCACTTTTCCAGTGGCTTTCTGAGGACTCCTCGTGTCCAGCATTTCGGACATATCTTCACAGCTCCCAAGCTCTTCATCGTAAATGTCGCTCACATCATTGTCAAAGTTGGTCAGTTGATTAGTAACATTCACAGTGAGTGTCCTTGTGTGTTCTCCCACTGAATTCACCTTTTTTGGATCATCGGGTTTGCTTCGTTGGGGGAGTTTGGCCTTAAAGCCTCCCACTGAGAGTCTTGACATTAGTTGTTTGGTCTTCAAGTTGAAAGAAGTTGTAGTAGTAGTAGTAGGAGAGGGTTCTTCTCCTTCCATAAGACATTGAGCGTGTATGTTTTCTTCAGTGTTTACCAAACCCATTTCAAGTTCAGCCTCCACTACAGGAAGAGATTTGGTTCTGTCTTTTGAGTTTTTGTCCATGTCATGTTCCAGTTGAGGCAAAGGTGTTGTGCAGCTGTCCAGGGCATTAGCATCAGGAGCTGTATTTATCATGTGGCTCAAACGCCTTACTTTTGAATGAAGATCGGCTAAACTCATTCGTCTAGACTTCCTTGAAGGTGCTGTATCAACATCATTGTTAACAGCACTGGGTGAACAAGCTTGATTTCTTGGTTTGGGTTCCTTCCTGTTATCAGTTTCATTGGAGTCAAGAAGATTAGGACGGTTTGTGATTTTCACACACTCAGGGCTGGACGATCCTAGTACTACATTGCCCTGTTGTGAAGTCCCCTCTGTTTTATTCAAATGGTCAGAATCAGGGCACTGAAGTGGCTCATCTATAGATGTTTGTCTCAAAATGTGGCCTGTCTGAGCTGTCATATCCATGCTTACATCGTCCTCTGCATAGTCTGCCATGGTTTGATTTACTGAATTCTCCATGGAAGCTGAAACAAAACCTGGAGCTTGCTTTGCAGTATCAGCCTCGGGCTTCTGCGTTTTAAGTGGGTTCAGGAAGCCATTTGCATCTACCGTTTCTTGAGGGGACAATGAAGTAGCTTCGGTGATCACAGGCTTAGCCCATAGGCCACTCGTTCTAGACAGGGAGTTTTTAAACCCTGGATCCAAAGTGTGTGTTGATGAAGGTCGATTTTTACTTGGACGACATGCCTCACTTTCTCTCTTCTTTGCAGATAAAGGAAAGTCCACATTTTCATGGGCGGATAAAATGTTAGAATCTCGGGGTGGAAGACCTGAATCTGAAAGCAAATTGCTGGCAACGTTTGCAGTGTTACTTTGTGTCACATTCATTGCTTCATCATTTGCCATGAACCTCATCGTCTTCTCTTTGCAAGAAGGTAAGAAGTCCATATTCCGGTGTGAATGCAGTTCAAAATCACTGACAATGTTTACAGTCTGACTTCTTGTCACATCCATGGCTGCATCTTTTGCAGTGAATCTCACCGTCTTCTCTGTCTTCTCTTCACATGTAGGTAAGAAGTCCACATCTTGATGCGACTGTAGGTCAAAATTTGTGGCAATGTTTACAGTCAGACTTCTTGTCACATCCATTGCTGCATCATTTGCACTGAACCTCACGGTCTTCTCTCCACATGTGGGTACAAAATCCAAATTTGGGTTAGACTGCAGTCCTAAATCACTGACAATGTTTACAGTCTGACTTCTTGTCACATCCATTGTTGCATCATTTGCAGTGAACCTTATGGTCTTCTCTCCGAATGTAGGCAAAAAGTCCACATCTTGATGCGACTGTGGGTCAAAATTTGTGGCAATGTTTACAGTGTGACTTTGTGTCACATCCATTGCTGCATCATTTGCACTAAACCTCACGGTCTTCTCTCCACATGTAGGTACAAAGTCCAAATTTGGGTTAGACTGCAGTCCTAAATCACTGACAATGTTTACAGTCTGACTTCTTGTCACATCCATTGCTGCATCATTTGCATTGAACCTTATGGTCTTCTCACCACAAGGAGGTAAAAAGTCCACATTTTGGTGCGACTGTGGGTTGAAATCAGTGGCAATGTTTACAGTGTGACTTTGTGTCACATCCATTGCTGCATCACTTGCAGTGAACCTCACGGTCTTCTCACCGCCAGCAGGTAAAAAACCCACATTTTGGTGCGACTGCAGTCCTAAATGACTGACAATGTTTACAGTCTGACTTCTTGTCACATCCATACAGCCATCGTCAGCAGTGAACCTCACTGTTTTCTCTCTGCAGTCATCTTCAGCATCAAAGTTGACCTGTGGAAGAAAAAAACAAAACAAAAACAATCTCATCAGTGTAGTCAGAAAACATCAATCTTGCAATGACATTTTAAATTAGCATTACTAATTAATTAATTTATTTTACTATACTAGGGCCACCATAAAAACTAAGTATTTTTCCATTCTCAGAAAGAAAGAAATATGCAGTATGAAATCATTGATTCTGCACAACTTGACAAATGCTCTTTCATGTGAATCAATATATAAAACACAGCACTGACCAAATAAAGCTCTATGATGTAATCTCATTTTAGTGCTAAAAGGTTGTGTTTTATTTAATTCTGCAATTAATAAATTCTTAAAAATTTAAGTATAAGTTAGTTTATTTTTAAGCTCACCTGATGTCTTTGCACCTTTGTCTTTATAGATGGCTTCAATGAGGTTTCCATACCTAATGTTGAGATAGGGAATAAAAAATTCGAAAAATAAGTGGAATTAATTCTGACATTGTCTTTATTGCCAAACATGTGATAAAATGTTTTTTTAAATCCATACATCATTGACATTACCAAAAATATATATTTTTATTCAAATGTTGCATTTATTATTATTTGCACATTGGTCAACCGTTTGAGTGACCAATGTTTGTGCTTTCCATACCTGCACTCTTCCGTCCTGAAGTCCTCTCTGGTTTCTTCAGACTTTCACGGTGAGGGTACATGTCTTGCGTTGGAAACAGAAACTGAAAAGGATCATCTGAGGCAGTGAGTACAGTTTGGACTGCTTCTGTCATATCCATGCTCGCGTCATTTTCAGTACCGATTGCACCTCCATTAAATGATTCTCCAAAGCTCCTGGTTGTATTCAGTGGCCGATTTTCTTTACTAACATCGGTTTTAAGCTGGGACAGGGAGCTGTTTGTGCTGACAGTTTCCTTAGAGGATGCAGCCGCAGTAGGAGGTTCCATTCTGGCAATCACTGGATTACCACTGGGGGCACTTTTTTCATAGAGATTTGCAAGGAAGTTTTTAAATCCTAGATCCACACCATTTGCTGATGAGCCAGGTGGACCACAAATCTTTTGTTTTCTCTCCTCCAGAGATGAAGCATTGTCCATTTTTCCAAGAGAGCAATTTTGGTTTGGTGGAGCTAATGAACCACTGGCAATGTTTACAGTGTGGCTCCGAGTCACATCCATGAACTCATCACCAGCAGTGAAGATTATTGTTTTCTCTCTGCATTCATCTTTTGTGTGAAGGTTGACCTGAAGAAGAAAAGACAGCATGTTATCCCATACTCACTGGCAAATTGCTGTTACGTATACTTTACTTTTCTGACTTTGCTGCTACTAATCACATCACTTTGCTCAGACAATAATACAATTTCAGTTCAAGTACAACACTAGTTGTGAGTACCGTATGTGTACTACTATTGCCTGTAATTTTTCTATGTAGCTTTTAGTTTCAGTTAATGTGAGTACATTACATCAGTGCAATATGAAAGATAATTTCAAAAATTCATTCTAAAAGCAAAGTAAAAGTACTCACGTCTTGTCTTTGATGAGAATCATGTAGAGGTGTGTTCTTCAAGGAGGTCATATCTACATTTGGAAATTGAAATGTAACGATTCTATTTAAACTTTAATTTAATCATAGGTTTTGGAATAATCTCAGCATCCCCAAAACACATGAAGATGCTAGGGCTGCACAATTAATCAAAATATTATCCAAATTGCAACATGGCCTAGTGCAATATCCAGAGATGTCCTTGCCTACAAATCTTGTTCCCCAGATGTAAACATGTTTGTTTGGTACAGAACCAAATAAATATCACATCTTGATGATTTTTATGCAAAGATTATCATTGTCAATACCATATTGTGCAGCCGTACAAGATACCACATATTAAGCCAAAGCAAGAAATATATTAGTATTCAATTAATGTGTGGATAAAAATAATAATAAAAAAATACCTTTAGGGTTGAATGATGCCAGCATTTTACTGCTCTGTTGTCGTTTGGTCTTCTCTGCTGTCTGTGACACTTTGTTGTCAAGGTGGGAGTACATTTCTTGTGTGGGAAAAAGACACTGAAAGGGATCGTCATCGTCAGTAAAACCCTGAATGCGGCCTGTCAGAGCTTCAGTCATATCCATGCTTACATCATCCTTTGGATAGAGTGCACTTCGATTAGATGATTCACCAATCATCCTGGATGTATTTAGTGACTTCGCCATCACAGCTGAAAGAGAGGTTGGTGCCTGATTTTCTTTATCCACATCAGCCCTGAGCGTTTTAATCTGGGCCAGAGAGCCACTCGTCTCTTCAGAGGATGCTCCAGCAGGAAGCCTCATGGAGGGTGTGTTTCTCTTCTCTGCACATAAATCCATGTTTCTGCTAGTGGTTAGTAGCACTGACATGTTTGGCATGTTCACAGTGTGACTTAAGGTCATATCCATGGATCCATCATCTGCAGTGAACATCACAGTTTTCTCTCTGCTAGTGGGTAAAACGTCATGGTTTTGGAGGGAAATATCTGCAAGTAAATCTGCATCATTGTTAATGTTTATAGTGTGACAGTGGGTCATGTCCATGAATGCATCATCCGTAGAAAACATCACTGTTCTCTCCCCAAAGTCATCCCGAGTATCAAAGTTGACCTGGTGAAGATAAGTGGGTTTAAGTTAATGGACAGAAAACCTCTGATAAACATTATTATGAAGAATTATAATAATATATTAAATATAAATATGCAAAGCAATTTAACCATTTTGTGGCTGTGACAATGGTAAAGAAACATATCATTGATGGAACAACAAAGTGACTTCAAGCTGACCTTATCCCTTTGTTGAGAAGTGTGTAGAGGAGCATTCAGAAGGGTTTCCATTCCTAAATTGAATTTGAAGACTTGAATTTAGTGAGAATGATTTTACACTGTAACAGATAATGTGAGCATTTGGTAATAGCGGGTTGAAGGTGACAACATAGTATCACTACCTGCAATTTGTTGAATTCTATCTTCAGTGACCGCCACCTGGACCCTTATGAAAAAAAACAAAAAATACTTTGTACCACACAATACTTTACCGTTGTTAAGACAGATAAATGTAACTGGTTTTGTGAGACGGTTATTAACAATATTATACAGCTTGTTGTGCAGAACTAGAAAGGATCAAGTCACCGTACCTATTTTGTGTGGCTGCCACTGCTGTGGAATAACACAGGACAGATGTTATTAAGCTGCTTGAAATAAAAAAATAAAATAAAATAAAAACATCACATACTGCATTACATACTTACTTGTCAATAAGTCTTGCAAAGGACTTCGGACAGGAGAGGCATTTTTTACATCCCTGTAAAGATAAAGTACTGATTAGGTTGAAATGTCAATGTTCTTGTGGGAAATTAAGTCGGATTTTTTCTTCTAGCATCTCACTTTGAGAACAGGAGAACATCGTTTGCAGGAGCAAAACTGACTCTTCTTGAATTCCTCTTTTCCACTGGTTTGGGACACTCCACCTTAGTGACAATAAGAACAATATATAAGGTAACATATAAATCATAAACAAAGTTATTACCACTCAATTTTGTCCTTGTTAGGAGTAATAATTGATAGTTACATATATATATATTATATATATATATATAGGTTGTAGTGCCATTACAACTTACAAATTAAATCTCCAGTTTTACATATAATTACAGTCCTAATCTTAAACTTAAGCAGTCCATTTACCGTATGTTCCTGTTGCTCTGGGTCAGGGAATCTGATTGATTTCCGCGGTGCTTTTAAAATCTGATAAAAAGCAATAACATAATAAATTGCAGACAATATAGTTCAGGCAAATGATGTGTTTAAAACAAAGTAAAAAAGTGTATACACTTTGTACATAAGATTATTTGTAGGACTGACCGAAGAAATGCGGCGCTTGGAGAATCCACTGCCTTCACTGTAACACAAACCATGAAACACTGTTTTCTTATGTGCATTCATCATTATAAACAATGTAAATACAGTCGTATCAAGAGTTCATGTTAATGGCCTAAAGGTAATGTATACACGGTTGTTTTGAGGTTCAGGCACAAAGCACACTTGGCTGCTCTCTCTCAATAACATCGTTTTCACTCACTCATTCCTAAAAGGATCCAGAGGCTCCATTTTCAACCTGTGAACAAATAAAAACAGTGGTTTATGCAGTAAATCAATTACATTTAAGTTGATATTTCACGACTTTTTACTGGAATACAACATAATTGGCCATCTTTAGCTAGATCAATACATTAATGAGCAAAGATATTACAGGACAGTATAGCAAGCCTGTGCTGTCAGGTTGACTAAGACTGCTCTTCAGTAGCCACGATAAGGTTGAAATGACCTCTCCATGGCATGAAAGTAAACTACAGAGTGTCCGTCAGTCAATCTGTGTTAAGAAGGTAACATTATTGAGCCTCAGTGGCATTGGGGACATGTGGGACTGGATGAGTCGAAGTGACATTATATTAACTTGATCATGTATGCGGGGTAATACGGTAAAGTTAACTATAAAGGGCGACTCTAGCTTGACGTGGATTTCCCCTTTTTGTCAACAAACACTAACGTTACATCTTCATTCGCAAAACTTCCAAAAATGATTGCATTGCAGTAAACAAACTGCTGATTACTGACCTCGCTAACAAGGATACAAACATTGTATTTAAGTGCACTTATTCACTTAACTGTTAACGTTCGTGCTCGAGTACCATTCACAATATGTACGAGAAAAGAAGACATTACAGGGCATACCTTGTAGTTGTTATGAGTTCCTCCCGTTTAACGACGGCCACGGTTTGTGTTATTACTGTTAAACTAATTTAAAATTGTTTTCATGTCGCCTTTGTTTTGGCTAGATCGATGAGGGACCCCAACGTCAACGAGCCTTGATGCTAACGTCTTGAGGTTTGAATTTAGCCGCCTACACGCATGCGCAGAGCACACTAGTCTACTTTCTCCCTTTCTTTCGGTTATTTCGGTTAAAGCAGTAAAAGTAACGAGTGTTAAAGAGTAAACACACACAGCTTTAATTAATCAAGAAAAATAATCCGCCCGACGACCAGAAATAGCGAAAATAAGCGTTATCGAGACAGGAAATGACGTCGATAAACCGGAATTGAGCGTAGAGGGCGGGACGTTTTTGAATTCGTGCGGCTCAGTTTTGACTGTTGACAAATCTCCTGTTTAACGTATCCATAAAGGTAGGCCGTGGTGTTTTATTATTGAACCATGTCACACATATTACTGTGTTTTAGTTATGTTGAACGCTTAACTTGCATCTAAGCTAATCTAACTAGACGTTCGGTATCTTTTTAAGTCCTTGTTGTATTTGGGAAATCGCACCAAACTCCAGTCAAAATGTGCCCGTTTTTACGTTCTGCGTTATAGGAAATATGTATGGTAATATGATAATTCATGATTTAGCTGTTTGATGAGAGATAACTTAGTTGAATTCTAGGTAAACGGCTAATTGAGTGAAGATGTCCAGGATAGACAAACCGGGTTAATCAGATTATGTTTTCTTGCAGGTGCCTGTGTTTGGCATTATATTTACTGCAGACAGAGCAATGTCTTCAAAAATCCCAAGAGGTGAGAATAATTAGCTATTTCTGCACTTTGTTGGTGTATGTTTGTCTTATGAAGCCAAACAAACCTGATGTTAACAATCTTTTGTGTTTTCCAGGTGTACAGTTACCTGCAGAAACAAAGAAAACCGGTCACAAACTTGAATCCAAAGACACAGCAACTGTATCTGGAACAGGAAAATCAGATGGCATCCTTAAATCTCAAAAAGAAAACGTACCAAGGTAAGAAGCTGCTAATCAACAATATTAAAGGTAAAAGTTGTAAATATACTTAAATAAATCCATTTAACTGTGACATTACCTGCAACCCGCATAGGTGGCATGTAACACCCGTCTGGGTCACTACTTAATAGTCATGACCCATAGTGGCACTCCATAAGATAATATAGATACTCCTCTGCCACAGGTAGACAAAATGCTGCTGTCAGAAAGTTACAAAGCAAACATTTTAGTCTTCAAAAAAACCTTGAACTAGAATTAAATACAGGGATGTCAGAATACCAGAAATGTAGTAATCAATATCAATACCAATACAAGTGAAGTTACATAATTCCTGTTACCCAATTTGATACCTTGGTTAAAAAAAAAAATCTAAACAATTCATGTTTGTTTCACAGCTATTGAATTCAAAATGTTTCACTTTTTTCTTCCAGAAAAAATGTTGCTCCGAAAGTTCACAAGGGGTGAGTCATACATTATGTTGCACATCCTGAACATTCAATGGGATTCAATGTTAGAATTTGTTTTACAGCTTTGTGTTGCACTTTCCATAGGGTCTCCACCAGGTATGGGCAACAGGCAGAGCTCAAGGAGCAAAATCAGCACTTGATGGCTACCAATGAGGAGCTGCTGAAAAAACTCACAGACACACAGGTGCAGAAAAGCAGGATGGAATTGTAACATAACTGAGTACTTTTATCGTGTTTTATTTTGTGTAATACATTGGTCAGGCTCCTAGTAGAAAGTGTCACTTATCTGTTTTCAGCTGTAATTTTGCAGCATTTATGTCTTTGTTTTTTTTTATCTTGTGCTGTTACAATCTATGTGCTTTGCTAAAGTTCTTGTTATATTGCAGCAAAGAGTAACTGAGTTGGAGCTGGAGTTCAGTGACCTTGAAAAGGAGAATGCAGGGGTACAGAAAAACCTGAAGGACTGTCATGTACTCCTCGTCGCAGCCAAAATAGACCCAGGTGAATATGTGTCCCCCATTTTCCAAATGTGTTTTTGTCAGCTGAATGTCTGTTGTTGCTTGATAAAAAAAATAACATAAGATCTCCTTTTGATTGTTAGTTTTAGGAGAAAGGGTTGGAGAAGCTGCACGACAAAATGAAGATCAAAGAAAGGAAGTCATGGTATATATAAATGTCTTTATTTGTGTACTCGATGATATATGTGCAGTCATGTATTATTTGTCATATGCTTTAATTAACTTTAAATCAAACCCACACAAATACACTACAAAAACAGAACATAGGTGAAATTACACTAGAAACATGCTTAAGGGAAAAAAAAAAATATATATATTTGTACACATTAAGGGTTCCAGGCTTTTGGCTATCATAGGCAGTGCCATCTAGCAAACACAACTTTCATTTATATCTATTTCAGGGCGTCTCCACAGACCTTCTACATGAATTAAAAGCTTTTGGAGACATCGCATCACAGCAACGTGCTCAGCTAGAGGTGAGTCAAACTCGTTGAAGCTTGTATGGACCAATTGCTATTTATAGTAGTCGATTTAAAGGATGGTTGGAGTGTATTTTCAATGTTCCTCATTTTTTACACTTATAGGAAATCCAAACAACAATGACAGAACTTGCTAAAGCACGGGAACATATGATGCAGGAGAGGGAGAACTTTTCCCTGGAGGCTGCTGAAATGGAAAAAGCCCTCAAGGAAGCAGAAGCTCTCTTGTTATAAAAGTGTATCATAATTTCTTAATTCAAAATTAGTAAAAAATAAACTTTAAAATAAATGAATGCATAATATGTGTTTCAATGTTGGTGTGGCTGAAACTGAATAAAAGATTCCTATTTCCCCGTGTTCCTCTTACTCAAGTTATTTTTTTGCCACCTCATTTACATTTACACAAATCCATTTCCTGTTTAATAAGCAAACTTATTAGTATTGTCCACAGTTGAGGATGTTTTGTATATAGGTCATACATTTAAAGATCAGATTCTTGGAAGTTGAGTTTAAAAAGTAAATGCTCAATACAGACTTAAAAATAAGTCTCAAAGTCAAAACTTAACAGCATGAATCATGTACCCTAGTAAAGATTGTACAAACCAAATTCTATCCCAAAGATAAACAGAAATTTAGTATTTAAGCAAATTTCATATACACTAATAACTAACAATATGTAAGGACAGGTGCCCATTACAATGCTATACATCAGTAGACTTTACAGTTAATTATTTGTAATTGCGTGTAGTCTATTTAAAGCTGATAGTTAAATTCCACCACAGTGAAGAAGTCACAAAGTACACTTAGTCTAGTCCTGTACTTAAGTACAATTTTACTTTTGTACTTTCTACTCAACTTTTTACTAGTTCGCAGATTTAGATTGTTAATACAAAATATAAATCAACAAATAAATTCCACCACTGTCTCTTCATCCCATCCCATTCGTCTCCCAAGGGTTTATTTTTTGGCTGGCATGTTGCCATAGGGGTTCCTAGAGCTGCCCAGGCTGGTATTAAGAGTGCTGATGCTGCTGCTGGAATTACTTTGGCCAGCATTTATCTCTCCCGCGTGGCTGGTGCTGTAGTAGTAGATGAACAGGAAGAAACCTGCCGAGCAAAGAAAGATGTTCACTTATAAAGATAAACTGAGCCTATGAATTTTGTTTTTGGCTTATCTCTACCAAACACTTGGTGCTCCCGTAGTTCTTAGGTTATCCATTTGTTTAATATGCTTGCCTTTCAGGTTTTATTGAAGTTAATGGGAGAATAATACAAGATTGTCTTTCAATGTCAAAATATAACTCCATGTGTTAGCCAAAGCTAGTAACAGATAGTTACGTTATTCTAAATATGACACATTTTCAGCTTTCAGTTTAGTTTATGGCACTTCTGACCGATGTCCAGGATGATGCTCGCCTACGTCTACAGACTGTGTGTGGAGAGGAAGCAACAGGACGCTGACATGTAGGATATTTAAGCTGTGAGTAAAGCAGTAAAAAACCTACCTACATGAACGGTGAGTCTAAAAGCAGGATTAACAAAGCAATAAACTAAAAACATTATTATTCAACATTGATGGATCACATCCAGGCTGATACCTTGGAAAGAATTGAGAACTGTGAAAATGTAGTAGGCCGGGATCCGGAGGACGCCGTAGGCGAAGAAGGCAAAACCCCATGTGAGACCCAGCATGCAACACAGTCCCAGGATGGTTACAATACTTTTGCCACTTTTGCCACTTTTGCCAATTTGCATTTTGCCTACGCTGGTTCTCTTGAGACAGAAGAGCCAGGACAATATGATGGTGAAGGTAGTTAAGGTGAAGATGAAGACCAACACATAGTAGCCTATGTTGACAGCGTAGTGGGTGTCACTGTCTGTTATCCAGCACCTTGGAACAGAAAAACATGCTGGTAAAGGAAAGGAAACATGGCTCTGTTGTATGATTGTTAAATATATAATCCACAGATGTCAAGATTATTAGCTAACTCACAGGGACACTTTTTCGTTAGAGTCATTAGTTTCGATGACTTGTTCACCATATTTTCCTATGATGAGCAGGATAATCCCGACTACACTTGGTAGTACTGGAAACGGACAAAGAAAAAAACCACTGAATTGCAAATGGCATGTCTATGGTCAGGTCAAACAGCAGAAAATAATGACGTGTACTCACCCCAACTGGTAATGGAGACTTTGAGTATGTAGCGACGGATGCCAATTTTGCCCCCCATGTACAGCTGCAGGCAGAGGTGGAAGGCCTGCACAGCAAACCAAGTGAACGTAGCCAACATGAAGTAGTGCATGAGAGCTGCCATGATCTTACAACCCACAGAGTTCTTCAGTTTTGCCACAGGGCTGTTGACCAGGAAACTGAAGTTCAGCAGGAACATGGCTAACACCAGGTTGATCAGAATCCTTGTGGCTTTACTGGCCTTCGTATTCCTGTGAGGAGAGATGAACATAGGTATCATGTAGTGCTATGTCTGGCCGTAAACTTGAGTTATGTAAGTAATATTTACATATTACATAACCATGTGTATATTTAGCTTTATTTCTTCACTTCTTTGGTAAGGTAGGTGCAACAATGGCCTTAAAAATGTGACCATACATGATGAGGTAAGGGAGTACAGAAGCCGAGAACGGCCATGGATTTTAAAAAAAATTTTTATGCACTGTTATCTCGT